ATCCAGACCCTCTCACCTGCAGAGACCACCCACCGATCCAGACCCACACCAGCAGAGACCATTCACCTGCAGAGACCACCCACCGGTCCAGACTCTCACCTGCAGAGACCACCCACCGATCCAGACCCTCACCTGCAGAGACCACCCACCAATCCAGACCCTCAACGGAGTGGCCAGTCAGAGAGCCAGCCTGCTACAAGTCAGACTCCTAGGAAGTCAGCCCAGGATCTGTAGCAACTGGTCCAGGAAGCCACAGGGCAACCCCTGTGACGATGAGCCCCAACCTGCTCGGTCACCGAGGGCTTCCCCGCTTCCTGTCCCTGCTTCTTCCTCCAACTCAGGACCAACCAGAGAAAGCCAAAATGCTCCTTAGCCAGTCCTGAGGACCCCTGCTCTAGTTCCCCACCCCAGCCTCCATCAGGACCCACCAGAGCTCCGTTCCCACGATGACATCTCTCACTCCCCTCCCTCCCTCTGGGTCTCTGCCACACACAAGTGCCGTGGGACCCCTCCTGCGGCTGCCGCTCTGTCTGCTCGTGGAGAGGCATTCATCTTTCTAGCTTTCTTTCCGGATGCAGAGGTGCTGGCCCTTCCTTCAGTTTGACTTCTCGTTTATTCAACAAGTACCACCTATCGCAGCAGTGCTGTGGTTGAGTAGGGCAAGGGAACAAACAAAACAGCCTCCCCACAGGGACACAGATTGCAAAGCCCCTCAGGTCAGGTTCCCACCCCACACCTGTCCTCCTGGTGCGTCCCTCAGCTCCTCAGGCCCTGTTCCTGGGAAACTTCCCCAGAACAAGCTGCCAGTCCTGTCTTCCGACCCACAAATACAGCATGCTGCACCCTTATTTAGGTGTTTTCTCTTGGTGAAGTTTCGTAGTTTTCAGCATGCAAGGCTTGCCCATCTTTTGTCGCATATATCCCTAAATATTCATGTTTAATGTTATTATAATTGCTATTAAATTTCATTTGATTGCTTATTGCTAGTATAGAAATATGACCATTTTTGTGTATTGCACAAAATTGCACATCCTGCAATCTCACCAAAACTTACACATTTTTTTAAATAAGCCTTCTGAACTCTCAATAGGCAATTACCAGGAAATGTTTAAGGAAACATGTTTCTTCCTGCAACCTGGTTTTCCCTCTCCATGTGGGACCTTCTAGCAAGTGCCATCGCTTGGAGAACGCCCCCATGAGAGCGGCCAGAGGAGCCCCAAAGTGGAGTCGAGGGTCCAAGAAAAGCGCAATGGGAAAGGGACTCAGTGATGTGAAGATCTGTGCACCTGACCCCTGCTCTCACCTTCCCTTTCCCAGAAACAGGGCTGTTTTTAAGGCAGTGGTCAAGAATTGTGAAAAATAACCTTCCACACTTAAAGTGGATGTTTAACTTCATCATAAATGTAAGCGGTTGCAAAGGATATTATTTCTGGCATACCGTCATTATTATTGTTTTAATCAAAGTTGCTTGTGTTCAGTTTGCAGGGCTTCCGGAAAAAGGGCAGTTTTTATTCTGAGATGATTCTAAGTCAGAAAGGTGAGAAAACAATGTTCAGAATTGTAGCCAGGCAGCGGAGGATGCCTGAGGAAATCAGTCCAGTCCAGTTTACAATGAACAGTGTTAGGAGCAAATTTCTACAATCTATAATCACCCTCATTTTTACCAGAGATATTCCAATTGACATTAATTTGTTGACAAAGTAAGTTTAGTTTTGAGGAAACCTGACCTGATTATTGACGTAAGTGCAGCAAGAATAGCGATCCGTAACCAAATTTCCACCTCTGTCCTGTTACAAAGGGAACAGATTCTTGGTGAACTTACGCACATAAATAGGCTCGCTGAGTTCCTGAACTCTGGAGGGTGCAGGTGTGGAGAAAAGGTAAATGTTTCATTGTTCACAAAGGAATATGTTACCAACTTGCTCTAAGTCGGCTGAAGATAAAAAGTTGTCTTAAGTCTGGAAAAACAAAACACTTTTTAAAAGTCAGCAAAAAGTCATAAAAATTAGAATGGTCCTCCTTAGTTCATTCAGTCCCAGGTAATTGATTCTTGTTCTGCTTAGATACAGTTTTTTCACTAGTTCTGGAAATTTTTACCCAGCTCAGTTTTATGATCTTCATGTTATTAGAAACCTGTACTCACTGAAGATGAAACAGGGTTGCAGGAGGCTTTTATAAAAGCATCTGAGTAAAAGTAGGGATGACAGAAAGGCGTACAAATGCCCTTGATTACAGATCTGATGAGAGCTCAGGACAACACAATGAAGGAATTTGGTTATTTCTGTGACACACAACACTTCAAGATAATAACATCCCAGGACATCAGACTTCTGAGAGTTTCATACAATTTTTAAAACACTTGTTTTAACGACATATCTACATAAATACATTCTCAGGATGTCTAATATCACCTGTTCAACGATACTTCCATGTATTTTAACATACGAATATGCCTGATTAGCTTAATTTCTCAAAAAATCTTTGAAATGTTCCAGGAGCTCTCTGGAAGATTTCAGTTAGATTGGAGTCAAAATACTTTATTTCATTTTTTAAGAACTATATTGGGTTGTGACTTTATATTTTTTAAGATTTTACATATTTATTTGAGAGAGAACGCACGCGCACAAACAGCGGGGCAGGTGGGGGGGAAGCAGGGATCCTGCCATGGGGCTTGATCCCAGGACCCCAAGATCATGACCTGAGCCGAAGGCAGACGCTTCACCTCTTCACCGCCTGAACCACTCAGGTGCCCCTATTTATTTATTTTAAGTAAGCACCCCCTGCCCAGGCTCAATCCCACAACCCTGAGATCAAGAGTCACATGCTCTCCCAACTGAGCCAGCCAGGTGCCCCACCAAAGACTTTATTTCAGAACTTGATTTTAGGAAGTATTTCCAAACAAAACATTGAAAGGTTTGAACATTTGATTAAATAGAATTACAAGTCATTATGAACCCGTATCACATGTTCATTTCACCACGGTGACAATAAAGATGTCAAAGCCAAATGCAAGACCTTTCCATAGCTTGGAGCACAGTGTGGCTCTTCTAATACTGAGACTCAGTTTCCTTAAGTCATCAAAGACGTGGTAAACAGAGGAAATTACGTTGCCAAAACATAGAATCCTTTGTATGGGGAAAGGGGGGATAACTTTCAAGGAAAAGAAAAACTTTCGTGTATAATTTTTCATGAACAGCAGACCAACAGTTCAGGAAAACTTTCTTCTTTTAACAGAGAAAACGCAGCACCACTGAACCTCCTTGACTTAATTGATCTTGTTTTAGCCCGTCCTGACCACAAAGGAATGCCTTTCCAAAGATTCCTTTTCCATAAGCCTTTCAAACTTTCCTATTTACATCGAGATATTGTCCTAGTGCTGTAGTTTTAGAATGTGGGTGAGGTTTAGTGGGGTGAGGTCCAGAGCCCACGGCCAAGAAAGAATTCTTGAGACGTCTTTGGTGCAAAATGGTGATTTTATTAAAGCATGGGGACAGGACCCTCGGGCAGAAAGAGCTGCTTCCCCTGGGTTGTGAGGGGTGACTGATTATATACTTGGGATTTGGGGGTAAGGAATAAAGAAGGTTTTCAAAAGAACTTTTATAGGCTACAGATGACCTACAAGATACTGGAGACCTTGCTATTGTCAAGTTCAGGATCTTTTTCCCTCTAGCGAGGCATTAACATTAAGACCGGAGGAACATTGGGCACCTGGGTGGCTCAGATGGTTAAGTGTCTGCCTTCGGCTCAGGTCATGATCCCAGGGTCCTGGGATCGAGTCCCGCATCGGGCTCCCTGCTCCGCGGGGAAGCCTGCTTCTCCCTCTGCCTCTGCCTCTCTCTCTCTCTCTCTGACTCTCATGAATAAATAAATAAAAAAAAAACATTTAAAAAAAAAAAAAAAAAGACTGGAGGAACATTATACTCTGCCCCCCTCAAGTACTTCTCAATGGGCTGGAGATTATAAGGACATTTAGATCATTTAGTTTTATCTACATTTCCTTCTGGAAGTTAGGTTATTGATAAGAATGCTTTTTTTCTTGTAAATCACTAAGACCTTTGTAAACTGAGGGAGACTCAGGTCTTGCAGGACTGTAATCTCTACGTTGACCGTTTGTTTTTCCTTTCCTTAGCTTTTGGGCGGGCAGGAGTGCCCAAGAAACACCACACAGATCCCACCAGGGAGTTGGGCGGGGGGGTTGTGGGGTGTC